ATTTTCATTTTTGGGTGAACTAACCCTTTGTTGTTAAATGTTAAAGAAGCGGTTTCATTTTGGTTTAAATTATTTGTATCAAAATATTTTTTGTAAATAGCTTCATGTGAATTATACAATTTCCAATTGATGTATGACAGATTGTTTAATGTATGACAAATTAAAAATAGCAAAAACAGGAAACATATAGCAATACTTGGTGTACTGGAACACAATATGTATCATTTGTGACCCAGCGTCACATTTTTGGATTTCCGGTGAAGCCAACTTCAATTACTAATAATTACTCCCAGGGTGGAGGTGTTTCTCTCTATAGCACAGCTTTCTGCACCTGGCAGTAGCAAAGATGCTGTTTAATGCCTGCTGATATGTTGGCACCTATTCTGGCCATGGCCCATCCTGTCTGTGTTGGCCAGTGCCCAGTCTTTTTCTTTCATCATCCTCGCTCTTTTGATCTAGCCCTTCATTCTCCTGGTGCTGTTAATCAGCGCTACATGAAGTGGCTTTCTGCCGACAATTGCCAGACTGGACACAGACAAAACATTTTTTTCATAATTGTTATGTAATGTGCAAGCAGGCTTCCAGCATATTTGTCTTGCTCAGATACAGCTAAATATAGCACACAAACACACTCAAATTCATACTGAATCAAAACAATTAAATGAGGTGTGTGAACATTTATTTATTTATTTTTCTTTTCTTAAATGGGACGTTATTGTGTTATTTGTGTGGATTTTAGATGGCCATTTTACCCACATAATATTTTTGGGAGGTTGTATGTTAGGTTGTTCAGCCATGAATTTGAGATAAAGATATTCTTCTTTTTTTTTTTTCTGATCAGAAGCACTGATCAGGAATATTTCCAGTTTCCAAAAGCATGCATATCATGCTTGTCTACTTTGCTTGACACCAATTTTTTATTATTATTTAATTTTTTGTATAGCTGAGTACAATTTGTACCTTCCCCCAAAATAAACCCATAACATGGAACTCAATGTTTTTTGTTTTTTAATATTTTAAACAACAACACCAACAATGTTTCAGTGATGGTGACGATGTCAGTTATGTTGCACTCCCCTATGACTTGCAGAAATATTTTTATACATGTTTGTTTAATTTAGAGATTACAGCATTCCAGAAAGATCAGAGGGGGGAAAAACATGTACAACTAGAGCAAAAAGCAATAAACTTCAAAAGAGAGGTATTAAACACGTGAAGCACAAAAAAAGACAATGTGAACTTCAGAAATCAACCATGTCATATCTTTCCACAGTAGTCTTGTTCTTTCATTTTGGCACATTTTTCTTTTTTTTCTTTTTTTTTATATTTTAAATGGTAGATCAATAAAAAAGTGTTGCAAGACAGAAGAGAAAGTAAAACAAAAATAAATAAAACACTACTAAGCCTTCAGTAACATGGGCCTATCAACACTTGTTTTTAAACTGAAATGTTAATGACTGGATGTTGGATGACAATGTTGTTTCACATGAGATTACAGTAACTGAATGGATGTTGTGTGGTAATGAAGATGACAGCTAAGACCAACACTTAATATCAAATTAGTTTTACACTAACACTCTTAAAAATAAAGGTGCTTCACAATGCCATAGAAGAACCTCATAATATCGCTGTTGCAAGCATAATCATGACTATCATCATAATTGTCATCAAAGCATTATTAAATAACAGTAGTAATATGTGTAACTTGTTACTTTCCCAGAGTTGTTGGTTTATGTAAAGCTGATCTTTGCTTCTTTTTATTGATTTTAAATTCTCATGGTTTTTAAATAGGTGTATGTTGAATATGTTCTCTTCTTGAAGTGTATTCCAGTCTTTTTCTATATTACAAAGAGCTGAACTAGCAGCATCCTGACTGAGTTTAGAGACACAGGCCTGAGGACAAGGAGAGAGGGATGGAGGGGAAGATAAAGGAGGGAGGATGCTGTCTCCTCACGGAAACCGCTGGACACCGAATCGAGGGTCCTTCGTATCACGGATCTCAATCTAAAATAGACAATAAAGAGGGAGAAAAAAAGAGAAAATTATACAAAGAGCAGTCCATATACTTAATCAGAACTGACTATGATTTAAAAAAAAAAAAAAAAAGTTAACCAAAAATTACAATTGTGTCATCATTCATTTACCCTGATGTCCTTCCAAGACTGTATGACTTTCTATCTTCCATGGAACATAAGAAAAGGTTTGATAAATATCTCAAACCTTTTTTTGTCCACACAATGGAAGCCTATGGTCACAAAGCAGTTTGGTTACCAACATTCTTCAAAATATCTTCTTTTGTGTTGCACAGATGAAAGTCAGTCATACAGGTTTAAAATGATTTGAAGGTTAGTAAATAATGACAGGACTGTCATTTTTGGTGAACTATCCCATAATAATAAGTCGGTTTTTCTAGATTTTTTCTAGATTTTTTTTGTATGTAGGCTTGATCAGACGAACCTACATACAAAATATGAAAGGATTCATCAAATACATTTTGGGTGAAATTATGCCTTATCCTTCCATAAGAAAAAAAAAATCAAGTTTGTTACTTGCATGTATACATAATTAAACAAACATTACTTTGGTACAGACCACAACCCAACATAACAATTCAAACCTCTGGAATTACTACAGCATAAAAGTAATAAGCAGCTATCAGTCAGTACTACACTCGATATGCAATCGATATGCAATTCTGTTTTTTGCCATATTCATTTTTAGTTGTTCAGTTGTCTGGGCACATTGAAGCAAAGGAGGAATCAGGGGACAGATGACAGGAGTAGTATAGCATAGCCTGGATCAGCACAGATTGACAAAGGAAGGGAAAGGTTTAATTCAGACAAATAACACATCCTCCTACCTCCTGACCGACTTTGGTCCCTGTTTAGTGTCTGGATTTTGAAGAACATGTGAAAACCAACTATCAAACCTTAACCAAAGAGACACTAAATTGTTTTGAGTAAACAATGCATATATGTATATATAATATGTCTGTGAATTTGGTAAAATTACAGTCTGTGCTACATAAGGACTATTTAAGAATCCTTGGTCTCATGAGAAATATTTGACCCTACATACGTTTTTGCAAAACAAAAATGTTACTATAGTGCAGGTAGACATCAATGCAGGTTCTAGTTGAACTGACCACTAGTGGTCACTAAAAACTATGACTTGTACTTCCATTTAGACAAATGAAGATTAGAGGGAGAGATTTTAGTAAATAGCAGTTTATGGTGTCCATCTCACAAATCTGTCACAGAGCCTCATAACCCTTGGAATATAATGCATGTGTTGTATGAAAATGAGCAGCCTGAGGAGAAAATATTTTGTTGTAGACTATATTTTAGAGCAAAATTTTTTTGTACCTCTAACGGTGGATGGAGCATGGCACTATTAATGAATCTCAGTGAACATGCAAAATAATAGAATGATAGAATGAACCTTGCATTGTAACAAATGCATTGCAAGTGGCTTAAATTAAATTTCTGTAGCCCTTTAAGGATTAATTTTGGTTTTAAAATTAAATGTAGTTTTCAATACTGTAGAACCTTATTTAATGACATGATCAGTTTTCTTATTTTACTATAGCCTCATCTATATTGGAGAAAATCAATTTTACAGTAAACACTTCCCTGTTGAAAAAAACAGCATATGCTGGTTAGGTATGTTTTGAAGCATGGCTGCTGGTTTGAGCTGGTCCTTAGCTGGTTTAAGCTGGCCAAGTGCTGGTCCTAAGCCGGTCCTGAGCATGAGCTAGTTGCTTAGGATCAGCTTAGGACCAGCACATGACCAGCTAAGGACCAGCTTAAACCAGCTAAAACCAGCAGCCATGCTTCAAAACATACCTAACCAGCATATGCTGTTTTCAACAGGGTTTAGCAAGAAACTGCAGCTAATTGCAGTTATTTTCCACAGTACAATCTTCACACAATATTGTTTAAAACAATATAATAAAATCTTCATGTTCTATCTTGCCAAAAGTTTGGCGGTATGCAATAATCCTTCTGATATACCGGTAGATGTTAGTTTTTACATCATTAAAATATATGATAGAATCTTTCAAATTCAACTAAAAAACTTTGTTTGGTAATGATGGGAGTGAACAAGCATGTGGTGTGTGCAGCTGGGATATTTGACCTATACGTAATGATATTGATCTCCAATCATTGTTGATCTTTACTGGTTTTGGGAAAGCACTAAACTGTTCAGTGAAGGAGGGTATGAAAGCAACAGAGTTTTCCCTTTCCAATCCTCTAGGAATACCAATGTTCTGGTTCTGTCTCTATTAAATCACTGATCTTGAGTTCTTAGGGTGTCATTTTAGCTTGCAGAACATCTAAATGAGTAAGTCCAGGGTTTTAACTTTAAATGGAGAGAGTTGTTTAAAGTATAGAAAAAGTCAAACAAATCTCTGCCTTAAAGGGGTCATATGATGCGATTTCAATTTTTCCTTTCTCTTTGAAGTGTTACAAGCTCTTGGTGCATAAAGAAGATCTATAAAGTTGCAAAGACTAAAGTCTCAAATCCAAAGAGATATTCTTTATAAAAGTTAAGAGTCAACCACGCCTACCTAAAACGGCTCGTTCCAACACGCCTACGTCATGATGTGGGAAGATTTGCATAACACCGCCCAAATGTTCAAGCAAAGAAAGAAGGCGTAACTTTTATTCTCGCGGTAGTATTGTTGTTGC